GAATCACGGATAGGTCTACAAAAATTAACCAATCATATGAATGTCTTCCCATGAGTTCGCATCACTAGATGCAATAGGTTATGTCACATGATACGTACTACTGTACTATAGAAGAAATTCGAATATCTCCTCTCCTATCTCGCGTTTTAGCTTTCCACAGAATGACAAGTCCCAAGTGGCATAGGTACTTTGACGACAATGACGTTAATGATTGGAGTATCCTCGGATTTCATGAAGCATGGATACATGAAAATAAAGATGAAATAAGAAGGTTAAGCTATCAAAAAGCAAACGATGTTCTTACAAAAAGTCTACGTTCTCTTATCAACGATTGTAAAGACGAAATGAAGATGCAGGAAGCCGCGAGACTTTTAGCAAATAAGGCAAGTACATCATGCACATCTTATGATAGAGTCAATGATGTGGACTGATGCCATATTAAGAGAAATCAACTGTTTGCTGGTTCTCCGATGTCCTGTTTGGATGTATGGGTAACAGTTGTTCATGCTAGGAAGAATCAACTGTTTGCTGGTCCTCTGAATGCCTGTTTGGATGCATGACTTACCACAATGTCTACACGTGCGTGGGATTCAGTTGTCCATGCTAGGAGGTATCAACTGTTTGCTGTTCCTCCGAATGCCTGTTTGGATGCATGACAATGCCTACGTCTGCCCAGGATTAGTGTTAAAATTATTATATATTATGTATTATATCATCTCTCACTCCATCTTTTTCACAAAGAGCAAACGTACTCATGGAAGCGAACTTGACGAATTATGGGCTTCTATAGAAAATCAGAGATCGGCACAAGAGAAATTAAATTATGAACAAGTAAGTTCATGAATTTGATTACCATATATTTCAAAAATAAGTGTCACTAATTATAATTTTAAATTACTTTTTCACCAAGTTTGACAATGTCTCAAAATACTCATACGCTTTGACTAATGCTGCAGTAACAAACTTAAGCAATATTGTACAACCCATGCTACCAAGTAAGCGGTCTTTTGAGAGTCTTGAATCAGAAACAACGAATTTGACACAGAGCACAGAGCAAATATCAAGTGGAACTTTTAACTCGCAGCCAGAGAGAATGAGGACACCACCGCCTAGATTTCCAAATGTAAATGCACCTCTTCATACTCCGAATAAGCGTCAGATGTATGATGAGGGTGTTATTCGGTGAGTACCGTATGAGTGCCACTAAAGAAAGCCTAACTTGAGCTTTTAAATTTATAACCGTCCTTGAAAATAGTCTGATTAGTGACATATTAAATCCAGTTATATATCATATATCACTAATCAGGTTTTCAGGAGTTGAATCCTATAAATTGTGAATTTAAAACAGAAGTCTAGTTTTCACTGGATATCACTTTAATATTTATTAGCATGTTATTTGATTACTTTTTATATTAGATATCTCGATGCGATGGGACAATCTTTAAAATACAGCCGGATTCACGTTCAGGAACCATCTATGTGGGCTAAGGTAGAGAGCTATCTCGAGAATGCTTTGAAGGTTAGTTCTAATTGGTAGAATATTGGAAAGAAATATATATGTTTTATATATATTTTTTTGTTCATTTTACAGAAATCAGGAAATGATTTTAAGAAAGCTATTATGCTAGAGATTGAAAATAATGATGCAAGCAGTTTCCGCTTATATTGTGAAAAAATATTGATCGATTTGTGAGTCTTTAATGTTTATTGTGAATTTAATAAATAGGTACTTATTTCTGACTCCTTGGTACTAGTTATAATTTGGTAGATGTTTTTCCAGAAAAATTGGAGAAAGAAAATATATCGTTCAGAATCTTTCTTCACTTTTTAAATTTTACGAAACAACTTTTGGAAATATCATCTTTGATTGGATCGAATCACACTCCCTGTCTGCAAAATTGACAAAATCACCTACCAGTTCAGGAATTGTTAAATTTGACGCCAAAGGTAAGTAATTTAAATATTTATTAATCATTTTGCTTTATAATATTTTGATATTAGTCTCTTTGTTATTATAAGGAATACGTTTATTTGATGATAAGGAAATATGGCACATGGAAGTTGCTGGTTCACCATCATCACCAATAATAGATCACGTAATCGGTGATACAAAGAAATCATTGCATAGTGATATTTTAAATCTGGTTGCACTTTTGCTTGAGCACCTGGACGTTCCTGTAAAAGTTGCGACAAATATAAAGGTGTTCAGTTTGCAAGCTATCGGTAGATGTCTTCGTTATTTTAGAAAATGATGATTTCAATATTATTGATTAGTATTGTTTTGATTATTAGGTTATCGAATTACACTATATTCTCTTAACATGATGGATGATGGTTCCTTTTTGGCATCTGAACTTGCCTCTGCTGTAATTCCTTTTTCGTTTGAAGGTAGATCAAAATACAAGGCAGTTCTTTATCTTATGGCTGTTTTTCATGTGAGTAATTATAGGGGTATCTTTTCATTATTTTTGTATTATTAACGGATTTTATTTCAGGATGAATTTATAAACCAACTTTCAATTATGCAAGAACTTGATTTAAACATTAATCATAGTGAAGGATTTACGGTTCGAGATGTCTTAAAAATTCCTAAATCTTTACAGGATCTTTTAAAAGAAAAGTAATAATCTTAATTAATGATAACATATTTAGTGTAACTTCAGGAAAATAATAAATGTCTTGCTAATTGCAAAAAAAAAAATTTAAAGGATACAATACGTATGTACGTACAGTATTGTGCCTGGTACATATCTATAAACCCAGAACATAAATTCTGCAAACTTTATGAATTTCTCGAATATTTAATTAACTTACAAAACTTATAAATTGCTTTTAAATTCTTTTTTGGTATGGGTAAAAAAAATATTCAAAATTTAATATTATGGACAATTTGATCGTATATTGTAGTTTGTTTATATGGATGCTTTGCAAATTTTTATTTATAAGTTCCTAATAATTCGTTCTGACTCTTTGCTTGTCTCAAAATGAAAAGTTAGCTATTCAAAAAAAATTGATCTAACCATTAAGTGAACCTTGTGTTCAGTTTGTGGATTGTCAATATTCAAACTATAGTTTGTCAATCATCCGTATAGTTTCACATGATAACTACCGTAGTGCACTGACCAAAGTACCCGGCGTGACAAATAATGCAGATCAATTTTTTACAATATTATTTATATGTG